GGTGTAAGTAGTAATCATATGGTGTAAGTGGTAATCATATGGTGTAAGTAGTAATCATATGGTGTAAGTGGTAATTTTATGGTGTAAGTGGTTATCATATGGTGTAAGTGGTAATCATATGGTGTAAGTGGTAATCATATGGTGTAAGTGTTAATCATATGGTGTAAGTGGTAATCATATGGTGTAAGTGGTAATCATATGGTGTAAGTTTTAATCATATGGTGTAAGTGGTAATCATATGGTGTAAGTGGTAACCATATGGCGTTAAGTGACAATCATATGGTGTAAGTGGTAACCATATGTTGTAAGTGGCAGTCATGTGGTGTAAGTGGTAATAATATGATTGTCAGAAACATTAATTGGTAAATAGTGGGACTACTCATTAAAAATCAAACTTATCAACATAACCCTGTTGCTTGCTCTCTCCCCTTCGTCTTTATGTCATATTAGCTTATATATATATATATATGTACGTGATCATAAAACATAACTTGTGTTTATATTTCCAATCAGGGATATGCGCTCTGTGTAATTTTCCTTAATTGTAGCTGACTGCAGTGAGTCTTCATGAGATACAGATTAATATCTATCTTACATGTATCTATCCATTTGCATTTTTTTTTTTCGTTTCTCTGTCTGTCTGTCTGTCTCTCTCTCTCTCTCTCTCTCTCTCTCTCTCTCTCTTCTCTCTCTCTCCTCTCTCTCTCTCTCTCTCTCTCTCTCTCTCTCTCTCTCTCTCTCTCTCTCTCTCTCTCTCTCTCTCCCTCTCTCTTTCTCTCTCTCTCTCTCTTCCTCTCTCTCTCTCTCTCTCTCTCTCTCTCTCTCTCTCTCTCTCTCTCTCTCTCTCTCTCTCTCTCTCTCTCTCTCTCATCTCTCTCTCTCATCGTCCTACCTGTCTTTTTAATTACTACCAATACGAAGCCATCTGTTCTAAAAGAAAAAAAAATCAAAACAAGGCAAGAAATAAATAAATAAAAAAGCAACAACAGCAACAAAATAACGCTTTCCAAAACCGTGTGCAGATTGCGTGTGATGCTGACAATGCAGTTGCAGATGTGTTTCGTTGCCTCAATATCATAGTCTTATGGCAATTCTTCATTTCCATCAGCGAGTGTTATGAATATTTTTGGATCGGAAAGAAAGAAAGAAAGAAAGAAAATGAGAATTGCCTGTCACGAAGGGGTTGCTTTTCTCGGTACAAGGTCAGCTGGAGTAGATGCATGGATAGAGACATGAACAGAAAGATAATAGATACATAGATGGTTGATAGATGCGTGCATAGATAGATACATATTGGCAAAGAGGCGATAGACAGATACAAAGATGTATAATAGATAGATGCGTGAATAGATACATATAGACAAATAGATAATGAAAAGGTACATGAATAGATACATAGATATAGAATGGACAGATACATTAAGAGATACACAGGGAGACAGATACTTACAAACACACATACACAGAGATACACAGAATTATTATTTTTTTTTTTCACCACATCTTCGAGGCAAGAAATTAAAGAAAAAAATTAGAAGTATATAATATCAGTGTTGTATTGGCTAAATAAACAAGGTGTGTCAATATGTATAATCATGTGACAAGGAGAGACGCTTCTAATATATGAACAAGTTTTTCTCATTCCTAATCTATAAATATCTAATCTATATAATCAGGAATGACTATCATTATTACATAATTTCTTTTTCCAACCCATCACTTGCCAGATTTTTGACGTATTAATATTTCTGTAATTGCCTTGCCAGTTGCATTTCTTCCGTTATAATGTAGAATTGTGCAATTCACCAACGCATTGCTAGATTATACGCCTCTCGGTTATTACAAATGCAACCAATTTTCATATATTCTTTTTACTCTATACTTTGCCAGGCGCTGACTATCAACAGCAGTAATAATCAAATCGTCGTTATTTGGGGGGAATCTATATAATAACAATAATAATACCGATGAAATATATAGTTAATAGCACCTCGCACGGTTTCAAGAGAGCGAGTACGTGTATATAGATCAACGAACTTTATTTATATATTTTTCTTCATTTCTTACCCCACAATTTTCCTTATATACTTCATGCCCTTCCCTGCTATCAGGGATAAGATTGTCGGCGATATAAGGGTCGGCGAAAATGAAATTCGTTGCATTACTGTGCGCTAGAGTAAAGTGGAGTTCATGGATAAATTATGTTTGCTGTGTATCGTGTGAAACAAACGCACACACACATACACACACAAATACATACATACTCCTTCTCTCTCTCTTCTCTCTCTTCTCTCTCTCTCTCTCTCTCTCTCTCTCTCTCTCTCTCTCTATGTATATTATATATATATATATATATATAATATATAATAATATATATATATATAATATATATATATATATACACATATATTATTATATATACACACAAGACACATGTATAATAAATTGTATAATGTGTGTGTGTGTGTGTGTGGTTGTGTGGTATGTGCGTGTGTGTATAAATACATACAATCCATACAGAATATATATATAAATACATAATATTATATGTGTGTGTGTGTGTGTGTTGGTGTGTGTTTGTGTGTATGTGTGTGTGTATCCTTGCCTTCCTCACATACAGAGAGACAGAGATAATTGAGAAAATGCGGCGAGAACTAACGCTCATAGAGCCTTGTTATAGAAAATATTTATTTGTTATTTATTCATAGTTTAAGGGTTGTGGAGGCAGCAAGGAATTAAGTTGTAGCGACAGTTCCGGTGGTATCAATGAATAGATGAGAAGGAAATTATTTATTAGAGGGAAGTTGTAAGAGAGGAAAATTGTAATAGAAAAAAAAGGAAAGGAAACAAAATTGGTTATGGCCTAGTAAGATGGAAAGAATACTGATAGACTGGGTGTGAAGGTCTACTTACACTTACAGCTCTATAATATGTACACACAGCTAAGAATAAAGATAACCATAAACAACAACAATAATAACATTAGTCACTCAGCTTTTGTAGATATTGTTATTGTGATGATATTATCATTTTTGTTGTTGTGTTATCACAACCTTAATACTCTTGTGTTCGTATATTTACGTAATACATCATACATTCTTTAAAGAATGATAGATAGTCTTCTCTCTCTCGTCCAAATCTTTTCCACACGACCCTTACTCCCCCACCCTATCTCCACCTTCCCTCCCTCCCCACACACACACACACATCCACACAACATACAGGATGGGCGGAACCAAATTCAACATCGAGGAGTACCTGTTGGAGCTGCAGTTGGTCAAGACACGGAAGAAAGGATACGCCAAGCCCAGGATCCCCAAGTCTCGTTTCTGCAGGTATTCCCAGGACCCCGTGACGGATGACCTGATCTGGTAAGGGTCGAGTGAGGTCTTGTGGGGTTGATTTGCATATTGTTCTCTTATTGTTGTTTAGTCATATCATCTCTGTGTAGATTAGTATTATCACTTATTAATTGTTTATTGTTATTATTGTCATTAGTATAGTATTATATTATTGATGTTTGTTATGTCGTTTTGTTGTTATGATGTTGTTCTATATATTATCATTATTATCATTGTTCTCATT